TGTTATGCAAGAGTTAAAAGGAAGAGACTACTGTAGCTTGGCACCCACTTTTGAAAAGCCTGTATTTAGAAGATTAACTATTTTGGCTTAAGTGGTGACTCTCATCGTAACCGTGCAAAACTAAGTTACATAAGAGAAATTGTGTCGAGTTTTACAGCAAGATCTAAGTTCGTAAGATCAAAAAGACATCATGAATAAATTTGAATGCTGTCTTCATAATTTCTGGAAGTTAGATTAATTCCTTCTCCAAAATTTGCAGGTGACTATATGCGTTTCTACTAAACTTGGATTTTCAGCAATTATTGTAATGATTCTCCTAGGTGTTTTCACAGTGGGGCTCTGCAAAAATGTTTTTCAAAATTTTTTGATAGCGAACACCATTTTTCAATCTAAGAGCAAAACTCTAATTCAAGTATCGCTCCAATACATTTCCAGCAATTCTAACTTTGATATCAAACAGTTTATTTCAGCCATCATCAATAGTTGTCCAGGCTATAAAACTATAAATTAATAATTACCCAAAGGCAACCAGGTAGTTTTCACCTACCTTGAAATATTGCATACTCGCAATATAGTTAATACCATTTTTCCTCCCAGATTTTCCTAGGGGTTTTGTTTATCCAAGCCATTTATAACTGAATATGTACTATCTTCTTTCCTGTCCTTGGAAAAAGCAAGTTCTTTTGATAAGTTGGTCACAGAGCCATATTCTCTGAATTAATGCTCGTAGTCTTACTGTAACATTGATGCCAGTTTTGCTTAATAGGAATTCTTGGTTAAGAAAAAATTAAAGATAAAATCTGAATTTCAGCAAAGGTCATTATCACAGGTCATTTGCCTTCTCACAGAAAGCCGCATTATAATTACAGCACACTAATTGCTGTACAGCAGCATCAGTACAGCTCTTGAAGCAATGTGACACAGTGGCATTCACGAAGATAGCGAGATACTTTCCACAACCTGGATCGGTGTGAAGACACAGCAGGGTCATGGAAGAGGAAGGATTTTCTTGATCAAATTTCCAAGCTACTCAGTAAAACGGACACATGTAAACCACACAGCAAAATAGTTAAGAGGAAGAGTATTCACTCATGCTTCAGCTCCCTGAGGAATGAGGGTGACCTCACTAGACTGGCTCTCTCCGTTGGACTTTATGGAGAGGGCAACCATCACCCTTCCCAGGGCAGGTTCGAGGTAAGGCCAATCCAGCCGTTCTGCACAAGGCAGTGAAAAGCCCCTGAGCAGCAGAAGTGCTTCTCTACTCGCTCTTTGGCATCTAGCCTTCTTGCTGATAGAAGTCAATCGTGCACAAAGCAGAAGATAACAAAGAACACCGCATAGCAACTCACTGTTGGCATACTTACCACCACAGAAAAACACTGCAAAAGCCAGAAAAATCTCCAACTCCGCTCTACGAAGAGCTGACCTTCCCTTGGGTAGGGCTCACACCTCCTGTGCCAGGACTCGCACACCTCGGAAGGCAGAACAGATTCCGAGTAGTTACTGAACACTCTGGCAGCAAATGTCGCCCCTTGCCATGTTTAACGCTCGTTTACAACACTTCAGCTTGCAGTTTCACGTGACCACAGTAATCAAGTGCCTGCATTAACCTCCCACACCATTATAATTCAATTCTAATAACCCATTGTATTTAAAATTTTGTTAATTAAAAAAAAAACAAACCTAAACCATAAAAGCCAACTTTAAAACCCCACATCTTAGGTTAACAACTGAAATTCTTGAAATTCTTGACAAACTATTTGTCCTGTAGCTTCGGCTGCACATAATAGCTAACAACAACAAAAATAAATTGGAGCGTGCGCTCAAAACTAACCAGGTAATACTAAAAGAAGTGTTAAAATACTCTAATCAAAAAAATATATGTAATAATTGAAAATCTTTTTATTGTGCTAAGAGCTTTGGATCAAGCCCCCAAAACAAATTTTAAAAAGTACGGACAGCGAAGTATCTGTAGAGATACAAGCTGCAGCAACCAACAGAGTAAGTCAGAATTATGTTTCAAGCCTCATGTTTCAAGGCAATGGGAAAAAGCTAAATGCTAAAAAAATAAAAAAAGTGTTGGATCTATGAGTTTTCCTTATTTTAGCCTTCTGTTCCTAAATTAGGCATGCAATTTCCATGCTTTCTAAACAAAACAGTTCCAGAAGACAGTATTAAAACCCTTTGTAAATCTTCCACATATCTAGAGCAGCAAATGGTTCTGCCCTTGCAAGTAAAATGGAAGTAAGAAAGATTTTACACAGAAGCTACTAGAAGAAAGTTACTGAATACTGACAGTTGAACATATTCCATAGCTTTTAATTCCAGGTAACTCTCTTATAAAATCAACTCCCAAGGCATATTCGTCCTGCTACTAACCTCCTTTTCAAAGCACCTGTGCTCCTACTCCCTTCGTTTGCATCCTTTGTTTCTCTCTCTAAATGCTCAGCCCAGTATCAGTGTCCACGGAATTTCTTCTCTGTTTTTTTAAGATGCTGAAAATCAAAGTCATTTGGAAAAACATCTTCCTAATTCAAGCTGTCAAAATTTGATGACTATGCTAATTATTTTTTTCACATTTAGTCTGAATAGTACTCTGATTATTTTAAAGAACGTAAACCAGCAGAGCAGTTATTTTGTCATCTCGCTAACAGGCTTTTAACCCTTTAATGCTCCTAAAGGGATTAAAATTTGAATTGCTATTATATAACATTTATCAAAAAGTTACAATAAGGGACACAGTGTACCTTTTAAAAGTTAACAAGCTTTAACATGAAGCATTTAGTCTACTTGCTTGCATTATCACTTGCACAATGTGTTTGCTCTCCAGTTGAGTTTAGAAACTACTATTTGTGACCTACTTCCAGGCTTTTCTTGGACAGTTCACATAACTATACTTACATCCAAAATCATCTCCTTACTAGGATTTAGTTTTGTAACAGTTCTAAGTAAAATTTGGTCAATCTCTTTCCCAGAGCTTTGCCAAGCCGCATGCCAAGTTCTGCAGGCTCTAAGTTGGATCCAGTTCATCCAGATCGTCTCTCTCACATGACTTAGGTCAAGGTTAGGGAACGAGCCATCTGCTTGAGCAACTCAGCAGAAGGCGGTTTGCAACGTTAACTAAACGAGCTATTTCAGGCAAGGTACGCCAGCTCGTGGGCAAACACCACCCCTTCAACTTCCCTTGAAAAGTACAGAAAACCCTCCCTGTAAGCGAGGACGGGAGCTAGAAACGAGCCTGCCAGAACTGCCAGTCCGTATCTGTCCTGAAAAATTCCCATATGCATGAATTATCTGAAACACTGAACTCTTCACAAAGGCACAAAAAGGGAAAAAGACACCCCTTCTGTGCTGAATTCTTTAAACACTTCTAGTCATCATGTATTCCTAAGAAGCAAATTCTAATTCATCACAAAAATTAGCAAAATTAACATATTTTAATTTTACAATTAATGAACTTTAATTTATACAAACAATAGCTTTTATTTCCTCTCCAATTAAAATATATTTGTTATCTTTAATAATACTCAGGTTAAATTAGTAACAGTTGAGCTACAAAACAAAAAAGCAACGGAAAGCAACCTTCTGTTACAATTTTTTTTTTTTTTTTGCATGTGAGAATCAAATATGCTGATCAAGGAACAACTAGGTTGCACTTTATTTTAAATATTCATGACATTACACCACCATATAATCATCACACATATTTAAAAAGTAGAAAAAGTAGACATTAAATTTCTGTGTATTGGATTTAAAAGTTTTATCATGTGAAAAACTATATTCCATACAGTCTATATTCTCAATCTATTAGTGTGTAGGACTCAAAAATAAAAATATATACACAGAACATTTTAGTAGCTCCATAAAATAAGGAAGTCACATAATTAAGTAGAGTGATTGTAAACCAGCTGTACTTAAATACAAAGCTATGATATTTTTAACTGGAGAACTGAGAATCAATCCAGTAAGAAATAGTTTATTAAGTATTTTAAGGTGACTCTCACTATAATAGTTCTTAACTTTTTAATTTAAATGCTGCAAACTGACAAGAACAAAACCGAAAGATTTCTAACATTACTTGTGAATTTAAAGAAAAAAAAAGGTGTTTTCATAGAGAGAGAATTTAATCTTCCCTTATGAAAAAAATAAGAGAAACAAACAGAAGCACTGCAGAGTATTAGCAGATAAATGAGTTAGGGAAACGCTAAACGTCAAAGAAACACGAGGAAAAAAAAATCAAACCATGAACACCTTTTTGTGTAGGGGACAGGTTTAAAATGAGACTGCTCCTTTCATGAAGGGCACAAGGTACGTACGTAAAGCCTCCTTCATTTCTCTTCAGTTCACTTTTAAGGAATGGAATTAACGTACATTTTACATACAGAGGGATTTTTGTGAAAAATGGATGGCTAAAACCAGTTTACTGAAGCCAACTTATACATCTAAACCAGAAAAAAGAAAAGGGGACATAGGGATTATACATCAAAACAGACAAACTTAGAAAGTAGCAGTAGCAAACATAAGGTGAAATGTTGCAGCAGCAGGTTTACGTGTATACTCTAAATTATGTCACAACCAAAGTTGCAGAAATAACATTTTCAATCTTATATTACATTTTTGAGAAGCTAAAATCTCAGATATAATATACATGTATACAATAATTCTTTCAATTCTTTTACTTATTTACAAATCTTACACAGGGCCTCTTTACACAACTGTATTTGCATAAACTTCAGTCGGACAGAGTCCTAAGGAATGATCACATAAATAAAGTTTTGCATTATTTAGGCTTTCCCAGACCAGCTGTATGAATCGAAGTTACAGAATATATATATTTGCCTTTCAATATTGCTTTTTACATACAAAAAATTCCCTTAAGGAAAATAATTTTTAAAATAGAAAAATGTATGTAGAGTTTGACAGCAGAAAAATCTAAATACTGCCATATGATTACATCCTGGAATTAAATGCATTTTTTACATTACATTACACGTATTTCACTAATACATAAAAATTTCCTGTCTCTTCATAATATCTGAACGACACAGAGGGCATTCAGTAAGTCCTCCAGCACATTCCTTACAGGCAACTAGGTGACCACAGGGAATGAGGACGACTGATATGTCTTTAGCCATACAGATTTTACAAAGCTTTTCTTCCTGCAAGCGTCTTAACTTCTCTTCAGTACTGAGATCTAAGGAAAATAAACACATAAAAAGAAGTCAGCATATGTAGTACCAATTAATCTCTTTTTTTTTTATTTACACACAATGAAGATTTTTGTCATGTGATTTAAAGGTCACACCTTTAAAAAGAAAAAAAAAATTACAAGAGGAAACCAAGCTGCAGCATGGAATCCTCTTTTTCCACCCTCCCCTCCCATCTCATTACATCTCTGAGGCCAATGCAAGCAGAGAATTCAGCTATCTATATTTGCAAGAGCTTGAAATATCTACAGAATTTAGGATATGCATATTTTAATCAGGAACCATTCTGCCCACAGACTTCCTATTGACAACTTTCCCAAAACCTGTATAGAAGGTGAAAGAAAGGCTTGTTGATACTGGTTAAGCAATTTGGTCTTTTTTTCTTTTTCCGACTGTTCCCCAGTGAAAAGAATGAGGATGTGATTTTCTTCCATGCCCCCATTTTCAAAATGCTCATACTTAAAAAGTGTAAAAATTTGTAATACAGAAAGAATCAATTTTGCATTGTACATGAGCTCTTCATTATTCCAGCATGCCCCGTTTGAAAACGCAAACTTGAAAAGCCACTTGGGGAAAGCTCTGCACAGCCAACCACAAAAATAACGTCTGTCTTCACTGCAAGTTATTTTTTACCCATGATGTCCACTAAAAATCTTTTTTAAAAGAGTGGGCTGGTAGGATCTCTGCCTATCATGCCAACCAGACAGTCTTCTCCTTCCCTATGAATCCACCCAGCAGCTTGTCTCAAGTACTCCTGAGTTGGAAATCTTAGTTTTGGTCTATTTGCAGAATGTACCAGAATGGTTTTCTGAGCAAAACATGCAGGTCCCAGCATAGCTGGAACACAAATAATTGAAAAGAAACATCATCTAGAAGAACACTTACTCTTATCAGCCATGAAAGAAAATGTTTCTATCCCATGCACAATTTTATATTGAAAAATAAATAATTTGCTATTAAGATTTTTCATTTTGAGTACACAGTATTTGGACAGTATGTTACGGTGTCTACTTCATTTTGCCACCAGAGTCCCCCACATCTAGTTACTCTTGGTTTGTTTTGTTTTTTAAATGTCATCACCACAATAATTCTGGCTTTTTAGTTAGCAGGTATAACCTTTCCCAGAAGCACTGGTATTTCAATATTACACACTTTTAAGGTATTAACACTACATATTTTAGAGATGATATTTTTAAACGCTGCTTCGCTCAAACATTTTTAACACCGTCTTTGTTCAGCTTTTTTTTTTAATGTCCAAAGATCAATCTCTTGAATTTTAAGTTACATTACTGTAATTTCACCATAAATAAGACTTGGATCAGTGGGTAGAATAAACAGATAACAATAAGATATATTTCATAGCTGATATGAAAGTACACACAGAGGTTTTGTAATTGAATAAGCTCATCTCGCTCAACAAGGATTTCATTTGGTTCTTCTTCCCTTGTATTTTCTTTCTGAGCACTTAAGTCTGCTACCAGATCCTCAACAGATGTATGACTTTCTCCAGACATCTGCAATCTCTTTTCCATGGTGTTCCTAATCTCAGACAAACTGAAACCCATGTCTATGGCACTTTGTACCAAAGGATTCTGTAAGAGATCATCTAAAACAAGAAATTAAAAAACAAACAAACAACAATTTATCAAGGATGAATCTGCTTATCAGACAGTATTCACTACAATACTCTAAGACACCTTTGCAAACATCTAGCCAAAGGATCTATATTTCTGATTTGAGGATTCTGGTAGTGGTAAGAAAGCATTGTCTAAACATCCAAAACCGCAGATCTGAGATGTCTTCCATCCTAGCTTTCCCAGTCTCCCTTCATCTATTTATAATATAGAAATCCTCTTAGGTTTGCTATTCAAATCAACTACTTGAACTTCTTAAGATGTCTATATCACAAACTCCAAAACTGAATGTTAACTGAAATTCACCCAAAATTCCAAGGCACAATAGATACGTATTTGGTAACATTACATTAATTCAGTTCATACATAATAATCATACATACATGGGGAGAAACCAGTAAATAATTTGAATTTTCAAAACCAAAACAAAGTACAATCAGCAAGCAAGTAAGCCTATCCACGATAAGACACAACACTACTTTGTGAAACTATTTTTCAGTCTGTTGGACCTCTCCCGTCCTCTTTTCAATGTAATTTTTGGAATAGATTTGTTAGCAGTGTGTCTTATTTCCAATTCTTCTATTACATGTAAACGACCTATTTCTTCTTTACTTAACAAGACTGTTTAAAGAGCAAAATTTTTAAACCTAATTTTCACTCTCATAAACGAGCAATGTGCAAGAGATTTCCAAAATCTGTTTTGTGCAACCACTCTTATTAGCAACAGCTATCATTCCCTGGGATGAAGCTGCTTGACTGTCTTCCTACTACCTCTTTAACTGTCTTGTCTTCTTAGTGCGTGGTATTTGTGAAAAACATTGCAGGAATGTGTAACACTGGAACACATGACAAGCTCTTTAAGCTTTCTCAGCTTCCTGTGCCTTGCCATTTAACAGATTGACTCTTCCTGCCTCATGAAAAGCAACAATTGTTTCATTTCAGTGTTCTTTAATGTTCATCCCACAGCACTGCTAATTCCATGCTTGATGCTAATACTTACTAGCTAAAGAAATAAGACTGCATCTTATACGTACTTCTTTCATGCTTTACAATCCTTACAATATTTACCCAACCATGAGTACATTTCCCCTAAGAGAAATAAAATTCATACCACCGTTGTTTAGAAGCAATGGGAAAGTATTATCCAACAATTTGCCTGTCATGCTTTATTTTAAAATGTAATAGGGTTATTTTTAAAATTAACCATTGCCTGTATGATACATGCAAATATGGACATTCCGAAATAAGGGGGTTGTTTGTTTTGTAGTTTTTTTTTTTTTAAACAGATACCTTCAGGAAATATTGTCCTTTCAGCAGCTTCTGTCTAAAAGTGAAATACAAACAGACAAAATTACAATTCTGGAGAAGGTAGAAAGAAACCTATACAGTTACAAGACAGAAAATAATTATTTAATCTCAGTTATTTTATTGACTAAACTATTAAATCTACTCTGAACAACTGCAGAGGCATCAGTGTTTTGTTATGTCTTTCACATAGTTTTAAATTTTCATTTTAACTCATCTTTGCTATAATCGTATACACATGATTCTTAATCTATTAAAGAATTCTAAAATAACAAAAGTTTTACTTTTCAGTGACTGCATGCAAGTTTATCCTCTACCAACAAGAAAAGAAAAATTACCTACTACACTTGAATAAGGAAATTATTCATCTTAAACCTTAGGTTCCCAGGCTACAAAAAACCCAGCACTTGTTCAGCATCAAATATACAACATCTACAAGGTATTCTACATGTGAACCCTAACCCAGCTAAGGAGAGCTGTAACATCTATAAACCCTGAATGACAGAACTAAAACATACTTCCATGTCTTCCACTTTCTGCCAATAAAAGCAGCAGCAGAAGGACTAAATGACATACAAATATTTAGAAGAGTAACTGCATAGAAAAATTATGTTAAGAAAAATGGTATTTGATTAATAAGCAAGACACTTACTGTTGAATCCCTACATGCATCTCTTAAGTGAACATTATTTATAAATTCAAGCCCCTTTTCCTTTCTCACAAATCTGCACCTATAAATGAAAATATTTAGTTATAATAAAACTGCATAAGCAGCAGACAAAAGTTGATTACATAACTTTGAAAAGCTTTGATACATTGTCGACATCATACAAAATGCTTGCTTTTGAAATCTCTAAATGTTTAGTCAACATCAGTAATGTCATTTAAACATTTTTAAAAACATCTTAATCACTTCAGCAGTACTTTTCTTTTTCACATTTTTGATGAAACAGAAATCTAAGACTGTTGGCCATGACAGCTGATGCCACAGGTTTATAAAAGTAAAGACTCCAACATAAAACAAACACTATGTTAAAATGTTGGTTCTTCTAGTCTTTTGCAATCAAAGAAAAGCAGTCCTGGGTCAGACAGGTGCCTTACGTGCTTGCTTTCACTATGTCCAACCAGGCCTAGCCACTGGGCAGAGCTCTTCTCTTCCAGAAGATTTAGGGAATGCCATAACTCCTCGACAATAGTTGTCTAGCTTCAGCGGTCACTTCACCTCCAGCAGGTCATGGACATAAGACAGCATGCTGTGAGACTGATACACTGCCACTGAAGGTGATGTGCAAACAAAAACTCCACATGATATGGTTAATGATCTGACAGGAAGTAATCAAATCTGACATAATTTAAGCAAACTAAACCAAAATCAAACCTGTAGAGAGAGGAGTGAAACGTAGCACGAAAATGCATCTTAACCATTCACTGCACCAAGCCAAAGACTTGGATGGCACCTCCTCCAAGTGGTAGAGACTATCAATTAAAAGCTGCCTGTACCACTACTGAAAAAAGGATCAGCTAATGCATAAATACTAATTTTCAGCTTCCAGAGAGCCTTTGACCACAGAAGACAAATTTGTCAGCCAACATATAAAAGACATTGATTTTGTCAATGTTTTACAAGTAACTGAGTCGTTGTACTTAGACAGCTTTTATCCACCTGTAAGAAACAAGTCATACACGATTCCTCCTTTCCTCAAGACAGATTTTACACAAAATTGGCAGTCTTTCCAAAAACTACCTCTGGGTCTGGAATCCCCAGTCCATTAAAATTGCATAGAAGTATGTTTTGAATTCAGTATCACTACTGACTTCTTCGGGTTTGTTTGCACCATGACAGAAGGTTAGTCATTTCCTATCCTGACATACGTTACAAACTTTGGCATGTATGAAGCTATTAGAATAACAATTAGAATGTAGCACTTGAATAATGAGGAAAAAAAAAATCAGGTAAGTTTTCACAAAACTTCACAATTCTGTTAGCTGAGACATCAGTTAATTCCAGACACAGAAATCTCTTCCCTGTAATAATTCCTACAAACAAGCTGACACACAAACACCACCGACTTGAAGTTATTCAGAAGGTACAATTTCAGGGCAACCTTTCAGACTGATCACCTCTAATGAGTTAGTTGTGCCCTCGACCTCTTGAGATTTATTTAGTTCTCTTTCCCATCCACTTGAGAAGAACTCCGTCCTACCTCTCAAAGAACACATGAGGTTAATGTCCTCTTTTGAGGCCTCCGATATAACATTAAAGCATATGTTGATGGTTACACATATGATAGTAGGACTACAGAAGGTAGAACAAATGGAACAACAAAAACAAGGAACTCATGCAAAAAATTCCTTAAAATCTTTTTATTGAAAAGGAAAAATGTAAACCATGGAAGATAACCAATATTCCTTTCGTGCCTAACGTGACAAAAATGAAGAAGAAGGAAGTGGAGGAGGGCAACTAAAAAAAAGTAAGGTATTTTCATAAATCTAAACAACATTAAGCCATAATCAACCTTCTGAAACCCTTATCAGTATGCTCTGTCACTTAAACATAACGTACTGTAAATAAGACTCGGACATGCAACAAGAAAATGGTAAAAAACACCTTACCCGGGAAACCATTTGGCATGTTGATCCCATGGGTCTTCGTTTTCCTTCCATTGTTGCAATACTCCACCACAGTGAAAACAAGCAACGTGATCACCATTACCTGAGGAAATACACCAGAATAAAGTTACGTATTTCTAGGAAGCATAACAATAAGTTTTCAACTAAAAAGTTTCATTGTTAAGAAAAACACTTATTTTATTGATTAGCAACTGTAACCAAAAAGAACTCAATTTTAAAGGAGGATGTAATACACATGATTTGAAACAAATGCTCAGGAGAGACTCAAGCTCAAAAAATACAAAGTAAGAGTCACATGAAATATTCCTGAATTTTATTTTAACAAGTAATTACACAGAGAAAAAGCAAAAGCTAAAAATAATCTACTATCAAAACAGCTCAATGCACTGGTACACAAGCCATGAAGTAGTCTGCCACAAAGTGTTAAGGATGTTCGCGTGCCCTTTTGGTGCTCCATTTCACCAGTAAGATTTATGGTGCAGTAGTATATAGAGCAGCATAACCGACTGAGGAGATGTTGGGAGAAATTGTGTTCTCTCTGCTCTAGCACTAAGCCTGCTGTAATCAAAGACTGCGCCAGAAACTGCTCGGATACTGTATTTATTGCAATGAAAGGAGATATGGAGAGGTTCTTCCTACACAGCTAAATCATTCTCAGGCCACAGGAAACAGTTTTCACAGAAGTCACCAGAACAGTGAGTCTGATAAACTGGTGCCATTCAGCCCAGCTCCACAATATAGACCTCACTTGGCTGTCAGAAGCTAGGTACTTCTAGGAATCCAAGAAGATACCAATAAAAACAGTTCTACTGGGTACAAATATTGCCCAAATATCACCCATACAAGAAGATATCAAAGGTTTTTTTTATGGCCACAAGTAAAACAAACAGAATCAGACTTAAAAGTTCTTCTGAGAGCTACAAAGAGAGAGCTTCTGAGAGCCATTTAAGATGAGAGCAAGAAATTATCCCGGATAATCTCCTTTTCTTTGTGACCTAGTAAGAGCAACACTTTGTGCTCGTACAGCATTTCTCAGTGAAGAATTTCAAAGAGCTTTAAAGGCACTGTGCAATTCAATCCAACTGGGAAACCAAGGCACAAGGACGTTGGAGTCTTATCCAAGTCATACACTACATGCCTAACAGTAAATGCTCTTCCACTGGAGTCATGGTCTTCATAAAGCTTTTACAGGAGGTGGCAACGGCAATTTTGGGTGTCCGAATGCCAGGACAGTGTCAACGTGTGTTAACTAAATAAATACACAACCTGGACTGCCTTGTTCATACGCTTCTGCACAGGCCACCACCCCACTCCTTAGACCTAAGGCAGATATCTGGATGAAGGACAGCACTTCACTTTTAAAAAAACATTAGCTTCAATGATTGGCATTGTGAAAGATGTATTACGAGGGTTTTAGCCAGCAAGGGAAACATGCTTTGATGTTTTACTGCTGAAAATTAATTTATGACCAAGTTTATATGTTGCTATTGAAAATACTCAATACAATGTACGTCATTTTACAAGAGAACTATGAAAAGTACTTTACACAGTAAAGAAATACTGGCAAATCATTCCATATTAGAATAACAAAATGTTTATTTTTGCGTAACAAGACACTTAATCATACAGAATTTCTTTGTGAAATACATTAGCCATTTTAAGGTCTGGCTTACCTATGCTATAGAAGCCAGCTTCAGCAAGTTGCTCCTTGTCAACAGGATATATCCAAGTTAAAAACGTTTGTAAACGTCTTCCATATGTTGCCATAGATGGATTCCTTGGATGCTGTTCACTGTTCAGACCACCTCTTCCATGCTCAGCAGGAATAGATTCACTTGGAACATTTCCAGCATCCCGGCCCAAAACAAAAAGGCATTTGGGAAAATGCCTCTTGTGTTCTGACCAAGCTCTGTCACCGGGTTCCCACGTTTTCAATTTTCCACCACAACAAAAACATGCCACTTGATCACCAACACCTGTATAATAGAATCCAGCATCAGCTAATTCCTTTGGTGTCAACTGGCCATCCACGGGCCAGTTGTGAAAAGACTTTAATCTTGTCTCTTCACTGCACATAGCAGGGTTTACAGGATACAAATTATCAGACATATCCACAACCTGCCTCGTTCTCAAAAGGTAATCTGCCTCCACATCAGATGGGTCATCCAGAGTACACGGGAGGGCTGAATTGCTGGAACCGTTTTCAGTTCTGTGCTGGTAGTTCCAGGCAAGAGGATGTACGTTAGTTTCCAGAAAACTAGAGTCAGTAATGAATTTGCAATTTGGAGAAAGCTTTCTGTGCCTCTCAACTGCAGAATCCCCTGGCGCCCATCCTTCAACAGTTGTAGAGCAACTGAAGCACTTCACTTTGTCACCTTCTCCAGTATAAACAAAGCCAGCTCGTGCTAGTGCCGATGCCGAAACTGGACAGCCAAGTGGAAATTCAACAAAAGTTTCTAGTCGGTAGTGTTCCTGTGCCCATTCCTGGTCATGGTTAGTGTCTGGAGTGGCACAAGCTTCCGAGTTACCTGGGCCATTACACGTCATCTCTTCATAAGCAAGGCTCTGCTTTCAGATTTCCTAAACAAAGAATAAATGTTTTAGTTTCACAGATAGAAGAACAGATCATCCCGATATGCAAGCCTGGAAACTGGCTAAATCAAACTAGCTATGCTTTCTGTATTAAAATAATGTCTCTTCCTTTTCCCTCCCATCTCACCCTTGCCTGCCTCGCCTGCCATGCAGAGGCAAACACCAGAACATTAAAAACAAACAAATCCAAAAAAAAAATGCAAAGAAAGGCAGGAAGATCACAAAGTTTTACAGGCCAGTAAAAATTTACTTGGAAAACACACAGGTTTATACATTTGTAGCTTTAAAAGAATGTTTTACTTCTTAACAAACAAACGTTGCAAGAATGAAATCAACAAAATATTTAACACAAGCTCTGGGCAAAACCCTGCCAAAAGGCTTCTGAACCTGAAATACGAAGTTACTGAATTTAAACTGCTGATCTAAGCCAGACCACATTCGCAGGATTTTACAGCCCAGTTCTGAAACATAACTATCTTTATTTTTCCCCCGTATGAAGGCCACGAGCACCATGCCCATTACAGCTATCATTGAAAAGAAATGAGCCTTTGGGCTTGTGTTATATTGTAAAGACATCCATCTCAGCTTTCCTTTTATCAAAGTATCTTGTGAAATAAACTATTGGATGTTTCACTGGGGCACTCACCGAAGTGCTGTGCTCTGCTTTTAAGATCAGTGTCTTGGAATATCCAGCACCAGCCTTCACGCCCAGCGCTCTGCTTCCACTTCCCCATGCCCTGCCTACACTCTCTACCAAAAGTACAACCAGTTCCTGCACCTCTGCCATCACCTCAGCTTTTCCTCCCTTCCCTCCCTGAAGGAATGTCATTCTCCTTATCACCTGCTCCTATTTCTGTTCCTGCCTACACTTCTCCAGGGTGAGCACCAACTGCTCGTCCTGCCCCGCGCCCTTCCACGCCAGAAGGCTGCTCAGAGCACTCAGACGAGCCCCTTCTCTCAGGAGGATGAGAGAAAGCAGCTTGGTTCCCTGTGCAAGAACCACAAACTGACACAGTCATCACCTTCATCCCAAGACGGATGAAGTCGGAGCACAGTAAAAATTCATCTCGTGTCCTGCCAAGCGCAGTGATATTATTGACTTGGAAAGTCTTGAGTAAAACACAGGCTACTGCCGACAGACATCTCAAACTTACACCTTTATTAAGTGGTAAATTAAATTATTATGAGACTGCCCAAACGGACTTTTAGCGCAAAGCAATAATAATTCAGCAATAAGTCAAAAGAAACGCATATAAGGAAGAACAGAACATGTATTTATTTGAACAAGCTTCCTCCTCTGTCTTCGATACGAATCCTGAAATGTATCTATTTCCAGTCCTCACCTTTATAAGGTAGGCCATCAGGCCAAAATTTCGCTTCCCCAAGACCTGCATTAACATTGATTATACTTTCTGTAAGGTCAATGCAGACATTACGACGATTGCTTATGTAATACCAGATTTAGCTCCTACTGGAAGGACAAAATCTTTCTCAAAGTTCAGAAGGGGTAGGGGAAAACTAACATGACTATGCATTGCAGGATCACTGCATCCTTTGCCAAGATGACAAAGATCATTAACCTATAAGGAGGTTGAGAAAACAAGACGTTAGAGACCCAGCATGGTTGCTTCACGTAATCATGGACACAACAATACTACGAGCTCCAGCTTCACTCCCTTCTGTAAGTCACTTCGTGACTAATGGAATGACGTTAGAAATTACACTGTGGTTTTCTGTTTTACCTTAGCAGATTCCAAAATAGCTTCTGGATAAATTACATGGTCTGACCTACAAATGTGACCTATATGCCTGTTTGGACTTTGAAGGGCAAAAAACCCCATATAAGTAATTATGTGTAGTAATATGAAAGCTCTCACAATACATACATTTTTAATATACATCTGTATATTGAAAACAATCAATTTTTATATCAAAAGTTAAAATGTTCATGTTTATTTCCTTTTAAAATCTTATTTTAAATCCTCTAGGACTGTCTCTGTAAAGATCTCAAGTGACCTTATGGGTGTCTCATCATTACTACTACACTACATTCACAGGATAATTTGTATCACTCAGATACCGTTAGCTGCATACTGATTCAGAGACTGATTCTCAGTCTTCAGAGACTCCTTTTCAAAACGTATGTTGAAAAAACAAACCAAATGCATATGCTTTCAATGTACGAGGAGCAGCATATTTTCATTTCTATTTCACTTACATAGAAATGAGTTCAGAAACAATGAAAAAACAACTCATCCTATTGAAATTTTTATTTATCAACTAGTTTCATCTTTACTGTAAATTCAGAATAGAGCTTCTACATCCCCTTTTGATCTGTTGCATACAAAATAACTGCAGCAAATCAGAGACAATCTACTCAGCCATTCTCTGTAATGTGTCCTCCCTCTCCCTAGTGAAATCAGGGGTAAAGACAGACCAACGTTCAAGCCTGATGGATCCCAAGAATTTACTGGAGACACAAAGATCACTCTTGGTTTGTGTTTTTTTTGGTTCCTTATGCCATATGGGGTGATCACATACTATAATGATGACTATGGTCTAGGAAGTTAAAAACAGTTAAGAGACAGAATTAACTATGCCCCCGCTTCTCATAAACTACCTACATGTTCTGTTTTAAGCACCACTTAACTGCTTTGTTACCAGAACTCATCTTAAAATCTGCCATTCTTAAAAAGAAAAAAGTCTGATACAGCAGTATCATATGCATAAAGAATAAAAAATAGATTAATACTTATCAGGTATATATATATATGCAAAAAAAGTCATTACGACATGAATGCACTGCAAATCGTTGCTTTTCATAAGCTAAAGATGATATTTCATCAAAGCAATTTCAACAAATATTGTGTCTTTAGTAAGGTCCAGATTCTCCAGTGCCCTCTGATAGAGATGATCTTCAAATCATATTTACACTACATGAGCAAGCCTGGATCTGGCAGCACTTTTCTGGGTTCTTTCACTAAAACTCTCCCCGTCCAACATTGGAAATTTTTTTTTTAGTAAATAAGCTGAAAATTCTGAAAATTTTTATTTCATGCAATTAGTCATCATCTACTTTTTAGATAATTTCATTCTAAAGACCCCACTTCTTTTAAAGCAGGCTTCGTTTTCAGAGTGTCTATAAACATATGACGTTTAATTGCGCGTTTTCTCCTCTTCTCCCAAAATAACTTCTCTCCTTTAAAACCACGAGCTGCAGAACTCAAAACATCACATAGGTAGTACATCTCATATATGACAGGCTTCCCTCATGGAAATAACAGCATGAGGTCCAATCGCCACAGATCAATTCTTTAATCTGAAGGAACCATTTCTAATTATACCAACCCCATTATTTAATCTTGATCTTTCAGAGCAGAAAGATTCCGCCATCGTTCCACAAGCCTCTCAAAGCCACATCTAAATACTGCAATGACAGCAGCAGGACAAACCCCTCACAGGTATCTGCTGGCTTTAACAACACTCCATCCACATTATCAAGCCCTTCCCTTACAACAGCCTCCCTAAACATAGCTGGCTTACATTTCAGAATAATTTTATCTAAAAGAAAAGGACATTAACGTATTTATTAACAATTGAGGGAAATGCTTCTTCTGTGTAAGCACTGCTTTAAATACAACATTAGTACTACTTTAAATGCAACATCAAATTCAATTATTTCTATCTCAAACAACTGTTAAAAGCAACTGTTCTAAGTGTAAAATTAAAACTAGCATAGGAATAGTATTTCTACCCAGGTATTTTAACAGTTGCCTTATTGCAGTTAGTTGCAGTAATGATTTAGAACAATATCCTGCACCATAACACCACTCAGACAAACATTAACTGCAGAAGAAAAATAACAGAGGATAAATTTTTGAATGGTCTATGATGAAAAAAAAAAATTATATCACAAATAAATTATATATAATAATAAATAAACTATGAATTAATAAAAAGTAGCTGTGTATACAAGACTTTACAATACATACCAGCAGCAAACCTGAGTTCAGAGAGTATACTTCATGTATATGAAGTTAATTCTTTTTGCATAGATTTAATTAATCACATCTGAATCAAAAGTAAAAGGTCCAGAAATGTTAAAATTAATCTTCACGTATAAAACTCAGATTTTTTAACTATTATTGAAGCATTATGTATCTTCTTACATATGCAGTGAGTAAACAAAGCCTACTTTAGCCTGAAAGACTTCCAGAAGCTGAGCCAAGTTTAATCCTGCTTTTAGACATCTGAAGGTATTTGTCACGAGACACCTCCCACTTCCAAGCTTAAGTACCAATTTATATAGTCCACCGATTATGTTTCAGAAGAAAAAATAAAGACAAAAATTCACAGCAAAAATGTTAACTTATTCAAAATGCAAAACTGTACACTGCAGTGTTGCAAGACAAACACGTTTAATTCAACTTTGAAAATACTAACAGGTACAATTTTATGCAAAAATACGACATCATCGCACTACTTAGATCAGAAATGCTTCAAAAGAAAAGTACAGAACCCACTTTTCTCTTTCAAGTACTTTATTAGACATGATTATTTCCACCCTTAATCCTAAACCAGACTGGCATTGTAATGAGTTATTTTTAATCCTCCCACATGACGAGCATGGCAGCAGCCTCCAAGTCCAAAACCTCCTTGCCCAGCCTCATGTTCCAAAGGGTACGTCAACGCGGAGCTCCCACTACTTGACACGCTGACTATGAGAGCAATGTCAGTGTTTACTGTCGACTGAATTTTGAAATGTGAGAGTAGTGCACCACGTAAATATCAAACAGAACATACTGTACCAGCTGACGCACAGATTATGCATATGTCACTTCACTGAATCTCGCTTCGTGCCTGCTCAGCTGCAATTAGATCAAGGAAGGGGCATGCTGCTCACTGAAAGCGTACTTGTAAACATTAAAACCACAAGAAACACAGGATCTAAATAA